CCCATCACTTAGCATGTGCGTCACCTCCAAAATAATCACATGACACCAAATCCGGGGTTTCATACCCTCAGGACCAGATTTATAACTGTTACCTACCTCAAAACGTAAAATTCTTTATTCTGCTATGCCTTTTCCTCGCAAATCGGTCTCCGAATGCCTCGAATCTAGTCACAAATAATTCGTTTCAGTCAATAAATTTTATTGGAATTAATTTCATAAGAAAATACTAATTTTTCATAAAAAATCAAAATTTAGCTCAAAAATCGCCTGTGGGGCCCACGTCTCGGAACCCGACAAAAATTACAAAATTCAAAAGCCCATTCAACCACGAATCTACCCATACCAATTTTACCAAAATCCGACCTCAACTCGACCCTCAAATCCACAATTTAAACCAAGAGGTTTTTCTAATCTTTCCAACTTAATTCACCCATTAAATGTTAAAAACATCCATGGATTCGGGTAATTTGACCAATAATGAGTTAAAAACACTAACCCCGTTATTTTCCTTGAAAATATCCCAAAAAATCGCCTCTTCCCGAGCTCCAATCCGTCAAAAATAGAAAATGGGACGAAGTCCCATTTTTAGAACTTAAACTTTCTGTCCAGACCTCTCTTCTATGCGATCGGGGACCAAGTCACTCGATCGTGAAGCACACATTTCCACTGCCAAAAATTAACCCTATGCGATCGCGGATTATTTCACGCGATCGCGCAGCACAAAAGAGACTGCCCCCAAATTTGGCCTTCTGCGAATGCGGTTGACCCCACGCGAACGTGGAACACTGCCTCTCAAACCTACGTGAATGTGTTCAGACCCACGCGATCACGTAGAGTAATTTCCTCCCCTCATCCACTGCTCAAATCCTTCTACGCGAACGTGACCTCATCCATGCGTTCATGAAGCATAGCTTAATACACGTACGCGATCGCTTTCCTTTCTCTGCGACCGCATAGAACAAAAATGTCCTTGCCCCAAATAAGCTTACGCGATCGCGGATTGACCTATGAGATCGCGTATAAGGAAACCAGAATAAGGCAGCAACAGATATCAGCAATCTTACCAAGGCCAAAAATGATCCGTTAACCCCTCCTCTCCCATCCGGAACTCACCCGAGCCCCCCGGGACCTCAACTAAACATACCATCAAGTCCTAAAACACCATACGAACTTAGTCGAACCCTCAAATAACCTCAAATAATGCTAAAACCATGAATTACACCCCAATTCAAGCCTAATGAACTTTGAAATTTCTAATTTCTATAATTGACTCCGGAACCTACCAAATCACGTCCGATTGACCTCAAATTTCGCACACAAGTCATAAATGACATAACGGAGGTATTCTAATTTTCAGAATCGGATTCCGACCCCGATATCAAAAAGTCAACCCCCGGTCAAACTTTCCAAAAATTCAACTTTCGGTATTTCAAGTCAAATTTTACTACGGACCTCCAAATAATTTTTCGGACACACTTCTAAATCAAAAATCACCATACAGAGCTGTTAGAATTATCAGAATTCAAATTCAAGGTTTTTACACATAAATCCACATCCGGTCGATTTTTCTAACTTAAATTTTTGATTATGAGACTAAGTGTCTCATTTCATTCCGAATTCCTTCCGTACCCGAATCAACTAACCCGGTAAGTCATAAAACAACTATAAAGTATAAATTGAGCAGTAAATGGGGGAACGAGATTATAATACATAAAACAATCGGTCAGGTCGTTACATTATTACCTTCTCACAACATCTAGCATTATGATTAGGCTCTCTACAGTTACTGCATATCATTACTCTTCTTTTTTGGAAACTCTCCACTCACCTTGCCTTTTGATAGCCACATATTTTTTCTCTTTTTTCTCTTAATCTTAGGTCTTCTTGCCATATTGAGTAACTCATGTGGTTCCATTGCTTGAGATGGTCCACTTTCCAGAACTTCTCATCTTTCATTGGTTGCAACTTGTGTTTTTAGGTAAGCAAGTATGCTTCCTTCCTATACCACTAATTGAATTCCTTTATAGGGTCTAGCTTCTTATATTCAGGGCTAACTCAACAAGATTAGAGGCCTAAAGTGAAAATTTAATTAGAGGCTTTTATTGAAATAAAACCTTCATATATATTTTTATGTGAAATCTATTTTTTCTAGATTTTTGAGATATAAAAGTATTAATAATTTTTTTAATAAACCATTTAATCACTCTTAAGATATTGATGATCTTGAAAATAAAACAAGATTCAAAAAGTTGATAACTTGATATCGAAATAATTATTTAATCTTTGAATATACTTGTTACAATGCTTGAAACCTGCAGAGGAAAAATTTAAGAATGCGCAATATAGCTTATTCATTAGTATTCTTCAGCTCTTGTTTTTATTAAAAAAATAATAATTATTTTACGTAACAATATAGCTTAACTCTAAAAGTTTATTACACGTTTTCTAGTGAGAAATATAAAAAAAAAATAATGTAGGTATTTCACTAATGATGTCAACCGTAAAATATAAATAACGCAAAATTTTATATTCAGGGTAAAAGTTTAGGAGAATAATACTCTTTCTTTAATTTTTGCTTAAACGGTTATATCAATAACAAACAAAAAGTTATCATTACTTTTTATAAAATATTTTACTTTTCTATTTTTAAATACTCAACATTTTAAAAAAAAAATTAACTTATAAATCTATTATTGATAAAAGTTGGGCTACACCTACAACGATTTTGGTGGGATGGATATGATTTAATCTACTTTAATCAGATATTTCGGGTTTGAGCCCTATGGATAATATCTTGTTAGAGTGCGCTTTTCTTTTTACTAGGCCTTAGGCAGTGCAAAGTCAAATTAGTCGGGGCTTCAATGCAAATACCGAACACAGGTAAAAACAAGAAAAACACCAAACACAAAAAAACAATTGGGCCGTAAAAATTTTGGGGCCCAAAGCAATTGCTTTAGTTGCATCACATACAACATATACTTTGGCATGTAGATATAAAGATGTCATATTCCTCATATCATGCAAATTTTATCTATTTTTTCTGTACTGAGTTTAACTGTTGAACCGGAAAGCATGCCTATATTTCTGTACTGTTATTTCTGTACAAGACTGTACCTGTTTAGCTCGTCATTACTTTCAGCCCAGATGTTAGTCTTATTACTTATTGAGTTGGTTGTACTCATACTACACTCTACACCTCGTGTGCAGATTCAGGTACTTTCGGATACGGTGGTCGCCAGATTTGAGGATTTATCTTTTGGAGACTACAAGGTAGTTGCTTGGCGTCCGCAGACTTTGACTCTCTTTCCTTTCAGTTATTGTACTGTTCTATATTTTTAGAGAGTATTCTTATTAGTCAGACTTTGTTATTATTTAGATGCTCATGTATTCAGTGACACCGGGTTTTGGGAGTGTTTGTATCTGAAATTGTGAGGTTTTCAATGGAATTCAAATCTTATATTTTCAAACTTAAAAGATTATTGTGATTTATTGAGGTTATCGGCTTGCGTAGTATTGAGATAGACGCCATCACGACAAGTTAGGATTTTTGGTCGTGACATAGAATTTATAAAAATGAGAAGAACAAACATACTAGTAGTATAGATCTTAGATTAGACAAATAGATTTAGGGAACTGATTTTACGCTCCATTTTCTTATTTATGAGAGTACTTCACCACATATTCTACTATTTATAATGGCGGTTCACATACTATTGTGAATTTAATTTTATTTGGTGTAAAAACGTAAATCGGTAATTGTCCTATATTATTTTAGTCAATGACTTTATTATAAATTTAAATTTTTTAAAAGGTCAATGCTACAAGCGAAAAATTAGAAATGTTAAGTTCAATTCTAACTCAATTCAATTTCGATTGGAGCAAACACTATCACAAAAATCAGTCGATGCCGTAGAATGTTCGTTGACGTTGAAATAAGGCTCTTCAAAATCAGTCGATGCCGTAGAATGTTCGGACCGTAATCGATAATCGAATCGCAAAAGTAATTTATTGGTATCGAGTTATCGGATTAATGGTTGGTGAACGGATTAAAATTTTATATTTAATGATTTATCGATTCGGGGACGAATTACTCAATTTACTTATCGGATAAACTGTTAATCCGTTAAGAATTATTATATTTATATTTTTACCCCGATATATATAAAGTATCTCTTTCAATATTTGAAACCTTTCTTATTTCCCTAAATTTCAGCAGCTCTCAGCGGCATTCTCTATTTCTCTCAACAATCCTTAGGAAATAACGACACCAACCAAACTTACAAGGAAGTAACTTTTTAGCTGCCTAAGCTTCAATCGTCATCATAACTTTTTGGAGTAGGACTAAGCAGATCCAGATAGTTTTTGATACCTTTCTGCTCAAATAAATTATTTAATTTGGTAACTGAAGCAAAAGTATTACTTAACTTGTATTACTAATTAAGGAACCACAATTTGTATTTTAGCTTGCTTATTGTAAAGCAATTAAAGAAGAAGAAATTATCATCAACAATAAGAGCTTCATTAGCCCTACTTGAGTATGATTGTGATTATGATTGTAATTGTATCGTCTATTTATTATTCACTGTCTTGCTTACTTATATAAATTTTATTGTCTATTTGATTTAGTCGATAAATCGTCCGATAATTACTCTTGCTTACTTATATAAATTTTATTATCTATTTGATTTAGTCGATAAATCATTCGATAATTACTAACTCGATATTAATCTACTCGATATCTTATCGAATGACTAGCGAACTGATACATTTACAAGCTGATAATCGATAAACCAAATTATTATGTCTAAATATCCGCCCAATCAGCAACCCAAACTCGAAGCGGATTCAACTCGTAAAGGAGACGGTAGTTCACGCGCTACAGAGAGAGTAGAGCCCGGGGGGTCGTTTAGCGTCTCAGAGCTGTATCTGTGTCAGGGGAACGTTTCATTAGCTTAATAAAAAAAACTCATTATATTCTCTAATAATGTCTCAAATGAGCGGGCGGGGAAATTATTCACACACACACACCGCACTTTAGCTATTGCACTGCACTTAAGCCTTATAAGAGTGGGACACAGAGAGAGAGAGAGAGAGAGAGAGTGGAAACGGAGGAGGAGCACTTCTTCACAGCAAAGTGCTACTCCTACGTCGAAAGCTTCTCCACCTTTCCTTTTTCCTCCTTATTTAAGGTGCACTTTGGAAGCATTATTTCTCTGTTTTCTCTTTAGAATTAGTGGAATGAATGTGTGAATTTGATTCTGCTTCTCCACGATTTTGCAGGCGGCTCCGTACTCGGATTCTCTCCGAGTTTCCAGAAGTTTCACAGTATCTGTGAGTTAAAAACTTAAAGTTTATTCTTATCTTGAATATATCGATTATGCTTATGTTCATACCGATATTCTGCAAATTAAGAGGAAAATTGATTCAAGAAGAAGCTTCTAGTAACTTCATTGTTGTTGACCTCAACCTGTTGTTTTCTTGGAAACTGATTTCTGAGAATATGTTTTGTTAGTTGTTTACGGAGATGAGTTTAGGATGTAATTAGTGAGTACTTATTAGAATTGTTAAAAGTATGTTTAATGTTAGATAGTGTTTTGGTGGTGGAAGAGTTTTTGGAGTTGGATACGCATCTCTATAGGGATTAGATTTGATGGTCAAATTGGTGGTGAATTTATGTTGTTGAATCAGGACCGTTAAAAATTATGTGGTTAAGAAGTCCTGATTGAGACTGATACTCGGAATCTGGCTACTGTCTCAAAGTCTAGGAATCAAATCCTTTTAATTTACCTTCCCCCAGATTCTTTCTCACTCAAATCCTTCACTTTCTAACGATTGTCAACATGCTCAATTTTATTGCAATAAATACAAACAAACACTTTTCTTATTGAGATTATTTTACAAGTCTCCTATTGAGTAACTTATCCAAGAAATAGAAAATGAAGTGTAACCAGATTGTTGGAAGACATTTGTTTTTCTTTTTAGTTCCCTTATTTCTTTCTTTTCATAATTCCTTCCTTTCAAATTTCTTGAGATCTTAAGCAATGGATGACCTTTCAATAATGCTAGCTTAGGAACATTGTATTCTACTATGAGTATTTTACAAGGATCTGGGAGTTAAAGCCCAGGAGCTTGCACATTTCATCCTTATTCTTGAATCTCTGCTTTGCATTCGATAGATAGACCTTTCCTCAACAAGTTGGTAATCAGAGCAATGACAGAACTAAAAACTTTGATCTGCATGATTTTTTTTAAGTAAAAGCTAACAAGGAGTGGCTTTAGATTATCGATTCATGCTACTTTCTCTTTGATCTTAGGATTGCATTTTGATTACTCCTTTGTAGAATCTAGATTCGACTATATTCTACCATCATGTGAAGCATGTCATGAAAATTGAGTGAACGGTATTGGTTCTCTCATCAGTAGTAGTACAACTATTTGCTTCATCCTCCATCCATACATCTTGCATAATAACCAGAAGCTTTAAATACTTTTCGGGCAATCTAGCTAGAAAAGTACTTCGGTTTATCGCATTTATATTTCAATGGCCTGCTATTTGCAGCAACATACATTTACTTGCGCTTTTATTATGTCATCTTTGGCAGGTAAATGCCGGTTTAATTTGCTATTGCTGTCATCATGGATGACTAGGCCAGTCAGCTGCTATAGAGCAAATTTGGTTACTTTCTATGTAAAGGAAAAAAGGGAAGTATATTTGTTGACTACAGAAGTGTTGTTCATATGGCAAGGAGATATGGGCCTTATTTTGATCCTGAATATGAAACCTTAAGTATCAGAATAAACCCTCCAAGGTTGAGTTTCTCTACTTTTAGCTTTTGCCATCTTTGCAACATCCACTGCTTTCCTTCACTATGTTTTTATTTACTTTCATTCATTCATTGGCCAGCCTAGATATTATTCACTGTGTCTGCATCACAGTTTTGATGCCCATTTAGGATGTTACTTCTACCAAGATATGGAAACCTGTTGGTCTCCTTTGAACCAATGAAAGAAAATTGTGGATGTCAATTATATTGCTTCATATTTGACACCCTTATCTTTTTCCATGTGGTTTTACTAATGATTATTTGATGTTATTAGGGTATCTGTGGACAATGTGAGTTGCAAAGAATGCACTCTAGTGAAGGTAATCTTTCAGCATTAAGAATCTTTGAGTGATTGTCCTTATTTTGTTATTTCAAGGAGCCGCAGAACCTTTCATGAGAAAAGAAGCTCACTCACCACAGTTCAATAAGCTCTTAAGATTACAACGATTATTCATATTGGATTAATAAGAGTCTGGTTATCTCAGCCTGCTATGCTGCATTGATCAAAAGTTTTAATGAAAGAAAGGAGTATATTGAAAAGATTTTACAAACATAGAGAGCATGTTTCACAAATTTTATTTGCAAACTTTTTGAACACAATCTGATGTCAAAGTATACTGATCTCTGTAAGCTATAGCCCGGTGATCTGATAGGCAAGATTTGAATCACTAGTCTGATTCAGATAAGGGGTCCCACATTAACTCTATATCATTCAGTTGCTTTTGTGATAAAGTATTTGATTTTTGATGGGTAAAATAAAGTATTTTATTAATGAACCACCTCCAGTGCCTTAGGTACTGAGGTGTTCAAAAGTACCCACTGAGGTTTTCGTTGTTTTCCTCAGGTTGACAGTGTCAACAGACCTGGAATACTGCTGGAAGTGGTGCAAATCCTAACAGACCTTGATCTTGTAATTACCAAAGCCTACATATCCTCTGATGGCGGGTGGTTCATGGATGGTGAGTATTATTTCTCTTTAGCATTTGCAGGTGTTGAAGCTTTTAAACAAGGCATGTCAAAGTATTTTTAGTTGCATATTCTAGCGCTACTCTGGGGGACATGGATCATGTTCTACTATTTCATTTACATGCTCGGACAGCTATCCAAATAAATACCCAAATTCAAGTTTCCCCCGCATTGGTGGTTATTGATTTACTAGTATGTGTTAAAGATTTTTTTAGGTCATAGGTTCAAATCCCAATTGTGATATTCTGGTATGTTTTGAACCCCCTTGTATTAACTTCTGGCTCCGCCATTGCTAGATATGGATCATGTTCTACTATTTCATTTACATGCTCGGACAGCTATCCAAATAAATACCCAAATTCAAGTTTCTCCCGAATTGGTGGTTATCGATTTACTAGTACTGTGTTAATTGGTGGCCTTCTATACCATATTCACTTTCGCCCGTTTTTGGGACATTTCAAAAAAAGTATAAACCTTCTAGTCTGTTTACCATTAACAGTCTTTTTTAGTTCTGTCCATCTTCATATAATATTCTAAATACTTAGGGAACACAATTGTGAGATTTTTTACAAGTTTCATTTCTTTTTAACAGTATTTCATGTTACTGATCAACACGGCAAGAAAGTTACAGACAGCAGCACTATCGGTCATATAGAAAAAGTAAAGTATCCCTTATTTTTCTTGCCTTTTGTTTCATATTTTTATAATCTGTACACGATTAGTGCGGGGATAAGAGAACAAATTTCTTTGACAGATTCACATTCCTACTCATGTATTTTATTGCACCTAGCATATATCAGAGTTTTACTTTTGGGACTCTTATGACTTTTCAGAACAAAGCAAAAGTCAAGCAACTATTCAGAAATCCCTGGTTACTAAAATTTTTACAGAATAGTTGCTCATTGTTAGATAAGAGTTCCCAATTCCACTAACTAAATAGTGCCTGCTAATGTGTTTGCCTTTGCCTATTTCACTAAGTTTCAGTCACGAGCTAATTGCTGTCATAATCCTCGCTTTTACTGCAAGTTTTTACACAAAAGTTGTAGTAAGGCTTTCCTGAACTTTGTATTCAAGATCATACATACCCTAGCAGTCACGCAAGAAAATCATATTTTATCCCCAGTAAATGCTTTACCACACCTAGGTCTGTCATCTAAGTGACTGAAACTTAAAACGTAGCTTCCCTAAGCAAAAGACCTAGTTTTATTAACGATTTTATTGAATTTGTTACATTAGGCTCTAGGACCTGAAGGTTACACATCAGGCATATTGAAGACTTGGCCAGGTAGAAGGGTAGGAGTGAACTCTGTGGGAGATTACACCACCATTGAGCTTATAGGAAGCGATCGTCCGGGTCTTTTATCTGAAATTTCTGCTGTACTAGCCAATCTTCATTTTAATGTCGCTGCTGCTGAGGTTTGGACCCATAATAGGCGCACAGCATGTGTTCTTTATGTCAATGATAATTGTTCATCACTTGATGTGGATGAAGAATCCAGATTATGTGTCATGGAAGAGCAACTCAATAACATACTTCGTGGATGTGAGGATGATGAGAGTGGGGCTCATGCTACTTTCACAGTTGGTAGTACTCATGTTGATCGGCGGCTTCATCAGATGTTCTTTGCTGATAGGGACTACGAAGGTGGTTGTCTCGAAATGGAGATAGAATACCCTCCTAACTTCAAACCAGAAGTCAGAATTGAAAGCTGTGTCGAGAAAGGGTACTCAGTGGTCAATGTAAGTTGCAAGGATAGACCAAAGCTTATGTTTGACATTGTATGCACCCTCACAGACATGCAGTATGCTGTTTTCCATGCCACTATCTCATC